TCGAGCAACAAGACTAATGATTCTATAACGCATAGGCATGTGTGATATCTTGCGTAAAATCAATTTAACACGATCGTTAAACCTCATGCGAACGCTGTTTCCTGATGAATTTGATTTCTATCCAAAAACATGGTTTCTACCAGAACAAACTGAGCAGTTTCAAGCTGACGCGTGTTCTATTCATGAAGAAGATCGAAGACAACAGCGTTCTCTTACAACTTTCATCGTGAAACCATCAGGTATGTCGCTCGATTCGAGACAAAAATGAATCACTTTCTTTTTCCGGTTTGTCTAGATGGTTCTCAAGAATCAGGCATATATTTGATTCGAGATGCCACTCGTTGGAACGCGACTAATCGACCCCATGTTGTTCAAGGTAATGCCTTCAATTCTGCGTTAAACATTTCATCCAGATGCTATGAGACTCATTTGTAGAATATATTGATCGTCCGCTTCTGATCAATGGTCTAAAATTCGATATTAGAATCTACGTACTGATTCTCAGTTTGGATCCTTTGGGAGTTCTACTCTATGATGAAGGTTTAGCGCGCTTTGCTACTGTCGATTATCAAGCTCCGTCGACTACAAATCTACATCAAACGTTCATGCATTTGACTAATTATTCGTTGAACAAACGAAGTAATAGTTATAAACATGCTACAGATGAGAAGCAAACGAATGCCAGTAAGCGTAAATTGACTATGGTCTGGGCACAACTGTGCCAACGATTTAGTTTGGAGAAAGTCCAGCAAGCCAAAGAGATGATTACTGAAATGATTAATAAGACGGTCTTAGCTATTCTACCTGAACTTCGCGTCCAATACGCATTGGAATTCCCGATCAGTCGAAAACAAAATCGATGCTTTCAGGTATTAAATATTAGTAGTAGTAGCAGCAGTGAAGATAGCTCATTAAGCTAACTCTAACTCATCTAACAACTTTGTATAAATCCAAAATATAGTCCATACCATTGGATTCCATTAGTTGTACAAGAATCGTAACAGTATTTTTAATCTATCATTGAAAAGTCCAAAATAGTTTTTTTTTCTGGTTGTAAACAAACGTATTTATGTGACGAAGGCAAAAGAAAGTCTCAAAAATGAATACTAAGCAAAGGAGGCATGAATATTCAGAAGATCCTGTCTAATAAAGAATTCGAACATTGATCCTTTGATTACACGAGTGAGTTAGAAAAAACACAAGAACTTCAAATTAGATCAATTAATCTATGAATAGAACAATATCGATGAAGAATTTGCATTGGAAGATGCTTCAGCATTCTTTCTATTGTGGAGTGAAAATCTCCTATTATTTTGGCAACATATCGCTTCACACACGTCATTTTCAGTCGTAGCCGTATTAGAGCGATACTTCAATGATTTTAAAATATCTTCGATTCCTTTCTTCTGAGCATAGACACTTGAGTGAATAAATATGAAAAGCAAGAATGTCATTTGAAAAGGTGATAACCCTGAAAAGCGATTTGATTTTGACACTTACACATGTTTAAGAAAATTTTTAAAAACTTCGTCTATTCCACTTCATTCTTTTTCTCTGCCGATCCTACACTACTCACCCACATCCACACCCTTATAAGCAAGGAAGTTCAAGAGAACCCAGTCTTCGTCGTACTGCTCGTCGACTTCGATGATATTGTTTTAGATTATCGGTTTCGATATTATTCTCACCAATCAACTGAAACCGATTTTGCTCGAAGTCAATGCAAACCCTTCGTTACGAATCGATTTCGATCAGGAAAATGAAACTGGTAAGTATGATGGTCAGTATTGCACAGTGTAAAATCAGTCATTTCAGGTAAAACCGTCTCGCAACCGAGTCCAATCGATGAAGAAATTAAGAAGCCCCTCGTCTTGGAAACGCTGAAACTTGTAATGTAAGTACAAAACATCGACATTAGGAGGAGAAAATTTTTTTCCGTGGGACAAAAAAGAAATTCGAGCGAGAACTTTTCGTCTGAATATCGAGTTTTGCGACTGTTTCACAACAGGGACAAAACTATAGAACTTATGAGTTTTTATATGAAATGTAGGCATCGTCGTAATCAGTTACAAGTGAACAACGAATTGATGATTGGAAGAGACGAAAATCATTTACAAAATCAAGCAACTTTGATGAATGAAAGAAAACGATCGTTAGATGTCACCGAGAACGCAACAAGTACACCATCTAATTCGGCTGCCATTGAAGACAACTCAGATGTGCTTACATTAGAAAGACCAATCATTCTCACAAGCAAACAGAAGGAGGTTCAATCCTCGATGAATCGAATTCTGACAGACAATGACATTTCAATAACTGGCTCGTTAAAGTTGCTCAAGATTATCTTTCCATCAACATCGCAAACCAAATATGAGCATATGTTTCTTGTCGAAAGAATTGCTTTTATCTATATTACAATAGTGATCAGACGTGGATATAAAACAATGACTAGTCGACAATTTCGCAACTTTGCTAGGTATGTCAAGTGAAGTCAGTCTAGAAATAAACTTTTCGTAATCATTATCTTAGTTGAGTGGCTTTGAAGAAAAGGTTTTCATTCGCAGACTTTCAAAATATGAGCTATGTGCAAGCAGGAAAACTTCTTTCAATATTTTATGCCATATAGGTTCGAATCGACGGTCAGTGCATTACGCTATAGTCATCAAGTTTAGAGAATAGCCAGTTTCATCACCACGAGACAAATGAAAAAAAAAACACATTTACTCATGTTATTGAATAAACCTTCAGGTTTTTAATTCATTATCGTATATTTATTGATTTGACTCCAATTATAAACTAACCCCATCTGTGCACCATGCATAGGTATTCAATAGTAATTATATAGAATATTTACTCATGCAAGTTCTCATTTCAATACCCCATTGGCAATATGATTCGTTTGCATTCAATATTGCTATCGAATCTTACCTTGAAGATGATTAGCTGGAGTCAAAGCAAAGGCTTCCCTAATTTTCTCAATACTACCGTAAGGATAATTCCTGATGAATTCTGAAGTATTCTGGTGTACACGCACAGTTTTGACTGAGATAACTCACAAAGTGTTGATACGCATACGGTGAGGACACTTATGACCAAATAGGATTTTTAATCATTACAACTTGAGTACCTCATCATACATCCTGATACGAAATGCGAATCCAAACGTATCGTGAGACCTGCTCACATTTAGGTATCAATCACTCCAATCGTAGTTCTCAAAATTGATTGGCCCATTATATATTTAAGTCAAGTAACACAAAAAAATATATACGAAAGGCAATTACTTTGACCGTATTTTACTTTCTAGTGCGTTTGCAAACGTTTCCGATTCTTTTTTAGTTCAGGCTATGAATGCGTGTAGAATCGAAGCAAAACTCAGCTGTTTTTATCCCATAAGTAGATAGTAAGGTTTTATATGACCAAAAATCGGCTTTTTACTCCGTCTGTGTGTTGTTTTCATATGTATTGCTTTCGACTATCGGTTGATAGACTTACGACTACTAATTTCTGTTCGAATAGCATTTGTGGCGTTATCGATCACTCAATAACTATGCCATCCATCGATATGCTGTATGCACAAATATTCTACAAGTGGAAAAAATTTCTCTCGAAATCTACACCAGCTGGTAAGTCGAAGATCGAAAAATGATTCTCTTTATTGAAAAATGTCCTAACGGATCCTGTCTAGTAGTCACATTTTAATGAATTTGGTTTCTATTTTTTAGGAATACATTTTCCAGCATTCATCGAAGCTTTCTTTTTATTATCTCAACGCAAATATCCAACTTCTTCTAGTCTCCTCGACAGTGTCACCAAGCTAGTCGAGTCCTGTATTCATCATATGGATCTTTATGCCGAAGAGTCCACGTAACTATGTGCCTAACCGACTTCTTACCATATTAGCCCATCTAATATAAATCAATCATCATTGTATAAACAAGAGTAATAAATGATTGACTAAGAAAACCAGCTAAAGTTTATGTTTGCTGCAGCAGTATAAAAATTCAAGTTTGAACTCATTGAACCACTTGTCTTCAAATTTTAATTGTAGAATTTCGAGGTACAACTTTTGATTTTCAATTTTCACTTAACATATTTCTATTGAATTCATTTCGAAAGAAAAGTTTGGGTTGAATTCTAGTTGCAAGTTTAACATGTATGAGATAATAGTGATTTGGTTCAGTGCGAACAGCAACGAAATATGATAATAGGGTTTTTGATACAGTAGTATATAGATGAACAGTATTATCAAATAAAATGAAGTTCTTCATTGTCAAAATAAAAAAATGAACTGTTGAATCATGAACTGAACTTGCACTAGAAATGCTGCATGATAGACAACTTTCCACTATCTAGTTGTTGTCGACTAGTTTTTGAGAAGTTAATTGTGAAGTCATATCAACTTCGTTAAATGGACTTCACAGCACATTATGAAAGATAGAATGCTTAAGCTAATCTTAAAAACTTATCCCGTTCTATTCATTACCTTTCGTTAGTCTAGAGAATAGAATCGAGCTATTAGAATAATATGAGGGAAAATTTTATGAGAGAAAGCATAGACATAGTATGATGACACTGTCGAAACATCGCTGCGACTGAGGGCAAACACCTCCTTTCCATACATGACTATGGCAAGGTGTCGAAAAAGCTGCGAACTTCAGAACTATTCTTCAGCATGGCTGAACGAGGATTTCGATAGCATGACATAAAATAAAACCTAGGACAAAAGTCTTTTATTTTAATAGTCAAAAATGAAAGTAAACGGAAATAACTTCTTACAACTCGTCATTGCCTCCGAGTGAGAGTAAAAAGCTTCTGACTTCATAACAATACCGAAGAATAAAAGTGGAAAGCTCTGGACTTCACAGTAGGCATGCATCAAATTCAAATGTAATGTTTGGATTTGACTTGCTTTGGGTTTGGTGCACCTCTAATATAACTTAGATAAGTTATTAAATAAAATGGATAAGTATGATGAGCAACAACAATTTTATTAAATCATGTTGAATGATTTATCATTGCTTGATGATATCCCTCGTGTGTTTGTTATTATTTATAATGATCCTGCTAGTATTTATAAACGTCGACGAAATGTTGTGAACGAATCATTGTATTATCATAAATCACTTGAAATTGACGAAAAACTTTTACGATCAGATGATGAAACTTTTGCCAGTCTCTATAATAATCTTGGTCGTGTTTATTCAAATAAAGATGATCATAATCGATGATTTACTTTTTCGAAGAAACAGTGAAAATCTCTTTAGTCAAACCAGAATCCAATCAACAACTTGTTGCTAGTACGTATAATAATATTGCTGAAGTGTACAGAAAAAAAGATGACCATGAAAATGCATTTAAATATCATAAAATGGCATTGAATATAGCCTTGTGTCTAATCATCCTTTTCAATAACATACTCTAATCTAGGTAATAGCTACTATTAAAGAAAAAAATATGATGAAGCATTAAAATATTTCAACAAAGCGTCTTAATATTAAACATTAATTTCTTCCACCTAATCCTCATCCGTTTTTAAGAACATTTAGTAATATTGCATTAGCATTGCATAAACTTGACAAATACCAAGAAACATTTAACAATATGGTAACAGCTATTGAAATTACGACAAACTTATTACCACGAGGACATCTTCATCTCAAAGATCTTTAAGATGACTTTGAAATCATTTGGGAAGATTTGTGAAAGAAGCAAGCAAAACAAATGGCTTGTGAGCTTCGATTTTGACATTAAAAAAAAACACTGATATGATTCCGAGAAAATTACTCAATAATATTTTTAAAAAAGCTCTAATATAACATGAGTGCCGTATATCTTTTAAAGAATATCTGAATAGATTCTTCAACGGAAACAGAAAACATTAACTATTAGAAAAGCTGTCTCTTCGACTTTATTTCAAACTCATTTAAGAAAGTGTGGGGGTCACCAAATAAAAGAATTACAGAAAAACTATAAGAATACCTATAAAAGCAACACACAGATTGAGCGATGATGATTACTTCTATGGCTGAGTTCGGTATCGAATAACCGATACGTACACGCTAAGTATACAAGAATCGAATCCTTACTTTATCGTACAAAGTGCCCATTTGTGATCTATTAACACGATCTGTTTTACTACTGAGCAGATTGCAAAATGTCAGTGAGGGTTGTTTCTTCACGACAAAGTTTTTCATTGGCACATGTTTCAATGAGACGCATATAGAAGTCGAGAAATTGCTTAGCTCTTTCGTCACTATCTATTTCATGAGATAAGGACACATCCAACTGACCATCACCGGCACATGTAACAAATACCACTGTCGACGTGCGATATACACTGTTATTGTTTATTACATGTAAACCATGCAAGCGAATTTCTCCTTTACTGTAATCACACGCAAATGGATATTTTCCAATGTTCGAGAAGGCCAATTCCGAGTGACGTCCATCAGGGAAATCTCGAGTAAATCGTTGAAAACTCTGTTCATTGCTAGCAAGGTCAGTCAAAATATTCATGATCAATGGAACGCCGTTGCGTTTCAATTGATTTCGAGTATTTATCATACATTTCTTCGCTAAAGACCAAAATCGAGTAGATCGTATCGAAAGTGACCGACGAAGTTCTATTTCGCTAACGCCAATAAAGAGTCCAACAGATGACTTTGTTAAGGGCGACCTAGGTAGACGTGAACGCATATCGAAAGCAGCACCAATCGCAAATGGTTGCAATCGAATATTATCTTTCAGAGGAAAGCAATAATGAATAGCCAATAAGAGACATGCATAGAGTGGACCATTTAATGTGAGTTCGCGTAGTCGACATTGTTTGTGTAGACAATCATAGAGATCGACAGAGCTTGAAGAAAAAAGAAACTTCGTGTAATATCGTGGTACATGAAATTTTTTCGATTGACTATCTGGCAGTGGATAGAGTTTGATTGGGATTCGTGGTCGAGTTAACTTTCTAAATTCACTTCTAATGAGGCGTTTAGCGAGAAACGTCAATATTGGATAAAGAGGACCAAATGGTCGAGGAATCAAATCATTCATCAATGGAAGAATATCAAGATTGAGTGGTTCAGCTATGGGATTCAAATCTGATGATGTTGCCAAAGTTAAGAAGTCATTGATAAGAACGAATCCACTTCGACCATCGAAGGCACAATGATTTGTAAAGAGTAATAAATGAAAACAATCGTCATTCTTCAATGATTGTGAATTAAATAGTAGAATGAAATGAAAAAGTGGAAAGATCATTGTGCCATCATTCGAATATGGATCTTCATTACATTGACGTTCACAAATATTTTGCCATGAATCTTGACTGGAGTCCATCGTCGAAAAAAATAAATAATTCGATAGATATTTTGTATTGTATTCGAGAGTATCAAGAAAATAGTCATTAGCTTCGACGCGTAGACGAGAACGCATAAGTGGATGTCGTTTGAGAAGGCACTCAATCGTGGGCAGAGCACTATTAATTAGTTTCATACAATTACCTGTTAAATGAGCAGCATGACAAATTGTCTGCCAACCGCCATGTCCACAGGATAATTTTGCAAAGCCGTCAAGGACAGCAGTGGGCAACAAATCGATCGGTGAGACAAATGCTCATTTCCAGCGGAAAAATGCCCTCCACGTCAAAAATGAATTTTTTTCGATTCTGTTCATATAGGACGACCGTCATATACATATATGCGTATGCGTCCATATTTCATTCCTATCTCATTCTTCCATGAATACCATTCAGAAAAGGAATACGTGCCAACACACACTCCCCCCCCCATAGACTCTAAAATTTACGTCATATCATATATACCTATTCACATATCTAACACTTTTCTTATAGAAAGACGCTCAAGTCAAAAATGTTATTTTATGCATGATGATATACATCAAGTTGTTACACGATAAAGAGAACTATCTGTACTATACATACATAGTGAATGCAAAAATGAAAAGGCAGCAGAAAAATGACTTCAACTTATAGGAATAATGCTCGAACACGAACGAAAAATGTCTGTCATATATAAATCTATATACATATATTTTTAGTAGCAAGGAAATATGAAAAGACAGCGGAAAAGTGCTTTACTATAGAGGAAAAATGATTTTGTATATATGAGAAGAACGTCAAAGAGAACACGAATATGCCTCATCGAAAGATATGTTCAAAGTTTATTATAAAGTCCACTGTTTCAATAATCGGGGAGAGGAGGAGGTTGAACTTTTGGTTATACAGAATAATTTGATTTTGTTGTTTTTCTTATTGTTGTTATTCTATTGTATAGTGAACAGCGATGAATGAACTTAAATTTGATTGGTGATTAAAAATTGTTTTTCTTTTTGATTGGTCGGTATTTGGAGCTTTTTGAATATTTTTCACATTAAAGAAACACGAGAGAGAAGAAAGAGAACATTTGTCTTTCACGTTCGAATTGACTTCTAATCTATTAAAAATGTTTGGTAGATTTCAATCGAATTTTTCTCTAGCTTGTCGGTCGAAAACTACTTCAATCGAAAAATCTTCCTTCGTATATTCACATTATTCTCATCGATTTTCATATTACCACTAGCAGAAAAAAACAACTCTAAGATGAAATCAATTTTCCTCCTCTCGTCGTCATCATTCCATCATTCCTAACCATTTTTCCTATGCAGAATAGCATTATTCAGATCGATGTTCATTTTTCTGCTCAGGACAAAATACATATAACAATATGATGAAGTCATTTTTTTCTCTTGTTATAGCCATTATTCCATTAATCTCAATCATTTTTCCTACGGAGAATAGCATTATTCTCGTGGATTTTCATTGTTCCGCTGATGAAAAAATATATGTAACTATCACATAAAATCATTTTCCCTCCTGTTATAGTCATCTTTCCGTTAGTCTCAACGATTTTTCCTATGAAAACTAGCATTATTCTGATAGATTTTCATTTTTTCGTTGATAAAAAAAATATATGTAACTATAAAATAAAATGATTTCTCCTCTTGTTGTAGTCATTATCCCATTATTATCAATCATTTTACCTATGAAGAATAGCATTATTCTCGTGGATTTTCATCTTTCCCCTGATGAAAAAATATATATCACTAAAACATACAATCATTTTTCCTCTTATCATAGTCATTATTCCATTATTCTCAGCCACTTTTGCTATGAAAAATAGCATTATTCTGATGGATTTTCATTTTTCCGCTGATGAAAAAATAATATATAACTATAATATAAAATCATTTTTCCTCCTGTGATGATCGTTATTCCATTATTCTCAATCATTTTTCCTATGAAAAATAGCATTATTCTGATGGATTTTCATTTTT